AAGAAGTATCTAGTGTAGAGTATAATTCTAAATCAATAATACATAGACATGCAATTTTCATATAGAATCAATGGAAGAATTAATTTTCAATCATCTAATGAAGAATAAAATTCCTAATTAATCATATATAGACATACAATCAACTTGGAGATTTCAATGGAAGAATTAATCAATACAAGCCCTAATTTGTCAAATCAAGCATGTATATATAAATAAATCACAAGGCCAAATTTTTAATTACAACTTAATAATTCCCCAAGAAAAGAAAAACAAAGGTTTAGGTTACATGAACTTAGGGCTCATCCAAGCCCTAAGTGAAGAACTAGCTCATGGAGAAGATGATCATAGTGTCAACAAGCTCCATTTCCATCTTTTGGCTCCTTCTTCCTTCAATTGTAGACAAAGCCTCTGTAAAAAGTTCTTCAAACCCTAACTTTTCCTTTTTCCCCAGAGAGAACGTAATATCACGGTACAGAAAATAATAAAACTTAATAATAATAATAATAACTCCCTCAAAACTAATGAAAAACTAACTCTAAACTGAGGGCTCACTGGGCCATAAGTAATAACCCTATTAAAGCCCAATAGTTCACAAAATAAGCCCAAACAATAAGAAAATCCTATAATGTTGCCAAGTCCTGGGGGATCGATCCCTCAAGAGTTGGAAATTTCCTTTAAGCCCTATTTAGCTCCATTTTGGCCCCGAGCTCATTGGTTTGCTTCTTCATCTTTGGGAACATCATCAAAGGTTTGAGATTGACCGCTTTTGAAAAATAAACACACTATACGAGTAATGGGCTGCGACCTCCTTTTTGCCATTTTTCTGAGCTTTTTCTGAATATCTTTGCTTGACTCCAAAAAGGCTTTAGTGAACCAAAATTAGCTCATTTTAACTTTATTACCCTGAAATACACATTAACATAAATTAAGACTAAAACATAAAATTAAGATAGATGCAAAGACTGAAATACCCTAGCTTAGATGCTAAAATATGCAACATTTAAGCACTTGTCAACGAATGGATATCATCATTACTTTTATAACGGAACACCCACGAAGGTTCTTTTTTCGGTAAGTAATCATGTTTCATTAGATTACGTAAAGTGAAACCAAACAATATTTTAAACATATTGACTAATACTGACCAATAGTAGTTCAAGAGCAACACCATTTATTGAGAGAGAAAGTGAGATCTAGAAAGAGAGGCTTGAATGTCATGACTCATGGGCTTGATTTACCCAATTAATGTTCTAACCTATAAATATCTGTTTTCCCTCTGCAATTCATGTTGCATGTATGTACATATACATATACTTCATATGCATATATATATATATATATATATATAGATTCATTCATTAATGGCTCAATATAATGTAGGGTAAAGTGCATATAACCCCTAAACTTTTAGCTAAAAGCATAAAACCCCTGAACTATTTAAAATCTACAAATTAAGGACAAATTGAATATGGCCAGCACCGGAGCTGATCAGAAACATTAGATTACTAGTTTGCCTTTTAGTAAAACGACACTGTTTTGGTGTTTAATTGGCTTATGTTGCTAATGTGTCAAAGGTAATATGAGCAATAAATAAAATTATGAAAACACAACACCTTATCTTAACATATACCTTATCACTTTATTAGTTAACCAAATAAAGCCATACAGTCCACATAATTTAGTGCCAAACATACCTAATTTCACCTAAGCATTAATGGAAACAGCCGTTGTTCTCATTCACGGAAACTTCAGTGCTCACATTGGGTTCATTCATCCTTACCGAGCACAGTCCAAACACAGTCCTTGGTCGTCGATTCAGCACTGTTGTCCTCTCTGTAGTGGAGTTTTCTCCTCGTCACACCGATAATCAATCTACAATTCGTGCCGACGTCGAATACTTCACCTACCTCAAACCTGTTCAATATCACGCTCTCACACGCCAAGATTTATCCCTGCGAATAGATCTAACGCGCGTACACGTGCCCTCACCACTGGCCGACGATCATTTCTGCACCGTTTCGCCACTGACGCTCTCGTCGGTTCTGTTCGCTTCTCATTCATTTCAGATGCTGCTCTAAAGACGTCGCGCCGTTTCCAAATCCTTATGGAGAGAAAGATCCGAGCTCCCTTCACGTCGCCGAAACCCAGTGCAAGCGAGAAGTCAAAAACCCCATCAAAGATTTGTTTAACCGGCGCTCATTTCTGCACTGTTCCACCACCGACGCTCTTGCCGGTTCAGTCCGCTCCTCGCCGTTTCAATTGTTGCTCGGGAGACGTCGCATTGTTTCCAAATCTTTATGGAGATAGAGAGATTGAGATGGTGTGAGAGACAACTACGTAGGAGTCGGTAGTGCCGGGGAAAAAATTAGTTGGCCAGTGTAGCATTACCCTTTCTCTTTAATGGTAATAAGGTGTGGAATTACCATTTTGAATTAACAACAGAACTCACGTGCCTCTTTCATGGACAAAACCAAATGGAACAGTGTTCCTTGGGGTTTCTTGCAAAAATCGGGATAGTTTAGGGAAATTCAGGAGGATTTTTAGGGAAAGAGAGTAAAGTTCAGGGGGTTATATGCACTTTACCCTATAATGTAACATAACAGATACATGTGGTGAAAATACCATCAATCTCTCATCCTTAAATAAGAAGGTACAAGATACTTTTTTAGTTACTCTTTATGCATATATCAATATTTAATTCACACACAAACACTATAACCTAAATTAATGAAAAACAATAATTTTGTAACACAATAAAAACAAAATTTCAACACTGCCTTTCATTTATTCCAATTTCTAATTTCTTAAATATTAGTATTATTTGCTCATAAATATTTACAAAGCGTGCCAGCAAAAATAAGCTCTTTGTGCCATCCCCATCATCATCTGAGTGAATAGATTATGACATCATTCATGGCTACACTTTTTCCCCAATCTACCATCCAACAAATCCCAATTTACCATCTGTGAATGAAGACGACGACTCTAGTGCAACCACAATAGCTCTTTATGGGATATTATAACGATGATGATTTGGTGGCGATGGTTAGTTGCGCAAGCCTGTTGGTGAAGTTCATCTCATGGTTCATATTGAAATTCCTTCAGTGAGTTTTTTGTAACAATGGTTATAGGGGAATGTCTAAAAAACACCCATGTGGTTTTCAATTTGTGCGAATTACACCATTTTAGTTAGATTTGTTTATATAAATCCATACTGTACACACAAATTTTGATTCCGGAAAACCTGGAACTAAAATAAATGCGATGAACAATAATTTTATTAAATAAAAGTTAGAAAATAAATGAGTACAATCCTCTGTTTTCGATTCTACTATAATTAGAATCTTCTTCTGATTAAATCTCCTTGGAATGTCGGTGCAAGGGCTTTAGAAGCTTGATCTTGGGCCAGTGGTTGAATTGTATTTGAGTTCTTCGAAATCGAAGAAAACTCAAATGGATTTCTGAACGAGGGCCGGTGAGGCTTGATCTCGAACGGTGGATTTGATAGTCTGTGATGAAGAACGGCGTATGTGTGGCACGCTTGTTGTTGTTCTTCTTCAGAAACTTCGGAGTGTTGTTCTTTCTCTTCAGAAACTTCAGAGTCTTTGTTAAGTCAGAGCTTCGGCAGAGTTTCGATGTTCTGTTCGTCTCTTTCTCTGTGAGTCCTCAAAATGTGAGGGGTGGCCTTGTATTTATAGGCCAAAGAGTGGGTTGTTCAATTTGGAAACTCCCCAATATTGTGCAATTTTTCCATAAATAAGGAATTTATTTCCTTTTATATGGAAATCAATTTAAATTCAAATTTGAATTGAATTTGAATTAAACCGCCATTTTCTTTAAAGGTACGCACCTTTAGGATTTTGACACGTGTCCATTGATGGGACTCGTATTTGCGGAATTTAATTAATCAAGAAATATTTGACTTCTTGACTAATCGGACGGTGATTAGACCATCACAAATTTTAGGGGTCTACACATACTAGATATAAAAATGTGCAATTAAGCACCTCCGGTGAGACTTCCATTGGAAATTGGACGTCAGTTAGTCATGTGCCATACACATGACCATTTTAAACTCTTTATTTTCAAAATTGCCCTTCTTATATTTCTTTACTACCCCTCACCATATATATATATATAAGTTAACAGTTGTAGAGAGAGAGAGGGGGGCAAGCTTGAGAATTGAGAGACAGTGGCTGAAGCTTGCGAACGGTGAACCCGAACTGGAACAGTGGGTGATGGTAACTGAAAGATATACGTTTTAATTTTTTGAACAATCTAAAATGATATGCCGATATGGGTTTTGATATAGGTAATAGGTTTTGAATTTTTTATTCTTGCAGACAGATAGATAAATTAAAATATATGGGTTTTGAACTTCTAATTCTTGTAGATTTTGTAGTTTGCAGTTGCAAAGAGAGAGAGAGAGGGGGCAAGAATGAGAATAGAGATGGAGTATTGATAGAGGGCTATTTTAGTCTATTCCCATTTTTTTTTTGTTATTTTATCATTATTTTTAAATCATAGATAGAGGGCTATTTTAGTCTTTTTGTAGCTCCGGTACCTATCAATAGAGGTTAACACCCAAAAGGCACTAATCCACACAATTTTTAAAGTATAAGGGAGGTGAACAAACAATGGGGGTTATAGGGGTGTAAAGCGCATGCGAGCCATGGTTATATTGCATATTGGTAGGGATAAGGGATTTTGGTAATTTTTTGCTTTTTAGAGTTAAAAATGTATTTGGCTGCAACGAAGGGTAATGTGAGAATTTTAATTTATTCTATACATGACATAAGCAGAATTCATCGTTGACTGGCGTTGCCGTAACGAAAAGGAGGTCTGTGTAGAATAGTTTTATTTTTAGAGGAGGTCCGAGTAATTTTTTAAAACAGAGGGGAGGTTTCTATAATTATGACAAATCATAGGGATGGTTCATGTAATTTATCCTTAAAAGATTGACAACGGTATGAATGTCCTTTCAGACCTGGCCAAAGCTCACACGCATTCCTTGCCCTTTATAATCAGGGGAGGGGGAGGCACCAAAAACCCTAGACGAAGAACCTAAAAGAAACCTAAAAGACTTCTTCTACACGAAGCACAGACCCTTGGGTACAGAGAGTCTCTTATATTTCCGGCGGAGGAGGAGGGCAATTAAAGATGGATGATGAGGAAGTATCATTGTTTTTGGTTGCGTCTTTTGTTGGTGGGCCATATTGTGCTGCAATTTATGAAATCAAATTTCGAGTAGAAGGAGGGGAATCTAAAATTGCAACAGTTAGTCCTCTGATGAAAGCGTTTAGTTATTCTAAAGAAGAAGATAGAGGATATTCACCTGTTGGTTGTGATATCTCAGGATCGCAGATGTGCTTGATGGCTTCATATTGGGATCTGCATTACAGTTTTGAGCAGTATCAACCCCTTATTTTCGATACAAATACCAAAAAGTTTTCTGACTTGAAATGGCCAGAAGCAACAAAACCTTATCCACTAGTGATGGCTGTCGGTGAAAGAGGTTTTTTTGTGCTTGCTGGTGGTACTATGTGTACGTCCGTCAAAATACGCTCTCCGTGTTTCGAACGTCTGGGTCCTTTTCAATGGAGGGATGATTCTGATTGTGATTATTCTTCCCTACCTGAGTATCGTTTGCACAGAAAATTACCCAGAATTATCTCCGGTTACGCAGTAATCCACGACTGTATTCTCATTTGTGTCCATGATTTTATTTCCAAGGCACGGACACGCAGTCAGGCAACTCAATTTTATTATTACAGAGTCGGGAGTGAAATGGAGAACTGGCAGGTCATCAAAAAGGAAAAGGAGTATGAGTTATATTACCCGATCTATGGAAAGGCTGAATATGTTGATGGTTATTTATACACTTTCGGACGTAGTTATAACTTGATTGCATATCAAGTCGTTGAGAATGATGGTATCATTCAATCTATTGGTCTTCCACTGTATTTTAGAGAACTGGACTTTAAAGATCTACCAGTGGATTGTGATCCCGCACTCTCGGGTTGCTTTGTTCATTTGGGAAACAGAATATTTTGCATGATGAAGACTGGTTTCAATGTTGACCCCTCCAACTTTCAATATGTTTCCATCTTGATCGTCCAACTTTCTGATGATATGGAGCTTTCAACCTTGTGGTCAGCTCTCTGCGCGTTGAATATAGAGAACCTCGCTCGGGCAAATTTAACATCACTTTGTTTGGACACCCAGTAAGTATTTGTATTTTTATTTTTATTTGTATTTGTATTTTTGTTGTTGTTTATCCTTAATGCTTCTAAGGTTGAAATTTCAAGTGACATAACTTATTACTCATTTCTGAATACGCTCAATGGGAAGGTTCAATTCTTGGTCGAGATTGTCTTTCAAGGTTTTCTATTTTTGAAGTAGGGATCTTATGGGTAAAAGTAAAACTATAAAACTGTATATTTATGTAGCCTTATTTTTATATACCAATAAAAAAAAAAACTTTAAAAAAGGAATACTTAACTACGTTCACACAGTACTAGATGGTTTTTCTGGTTTTCCTACTCTTTTTTTTTTTTTTTTGTGAAACTGTAGTTAAATGATAATTGTGTTAATTGAAAAGTAACAAAGTGATTGAACTTGAGGATTCAGACATGATGAGTGATGTTTTCTTAGATTAGCATATTTGATTTGCTTTAGCTTCTTATGTATGGTACACAGAAGAAGTCATGAAAAGATGAAATACCATTGTTGTCCACGTGTTCGAATGGTGCACAAGGATATGGCTGAGTGCCAGGAAAGGTGTTTAAAATGTGGACTTGACAGGTATCCTTGTTGTTTGACCATTCATTTTGTGTTAAACATGGCAAGCTGATCACTTAAGTATCGATTCTCTTGTAAGGTAATCGTGATCATGGTTTTGTTATGCATGGGTTTATCTAGACAGTTTTTGTGCCACAAGGCTTTAGAACCGGAGTATGTTTCGGTGATGAAGAGCTTTAAAATATTGGAAGGTCGTGTTTGATTGTTGTTTAAATCTGTGTATTGTGAGTTTTTGGTTTGTTGCAATTACCAGCCTTAACAAAAATAATTAGTAAGTTGCATGATTTGTTGAGACGAACCTAAATTTATATTATCCAAGTATCAAGGGAAATGTCCTGCATTCAGTTTATGTTTTATTGTAATGCAAAATAAGAAACAGGGAAAGTGCCAATGTTATATATGTCTTTACATGTGTTGTAGATATGGTTGTTGAGGGGTATAATTATGAAATAAAAACACGAATAAAGTTCAAGAATTATTAATAGATATGCAACTGCAAACCTGTGATACCTTTTCTCCCATGAATCCTTATTAGGCTGTGTTATTCCAATAATATTTTTCTTTGAAAGAAATTTAATTTTATTAGCAAATTGTCAAATATTGTTGCTGTGATGTTGCGGCCCGAGTTTTGTTTCAGTCCGAGTCGCGCTGTGACTCGGTTTTATCCCGAAAAGTGAGTTTTGTGCAGGACTAAAAAATTTTTGACCGGTTTTTGCTTGCAGGTCATGAACCCTATTTAATACTCTCTTGTAGCCTGGTATATAAGGGCGTTTAGTGTTTGGAGTGGGATAGAGTGAGACACTAAAAATTGCAGGAAAAAGAATGGGAGCTAGAGCTAGGGTTTGGGGGCTGAATCTTGTAACTTCCTGATTTTCGCATTGTGAAATCTTTCGAGGCATAATTTGTGCTGAACCACATGAATCATAAATTCTTTGTGTGCGGCGTGCTTACTTTTCTATCGCGATTCATGATTTGTTCTTGGTTCGTCGTGTTTGTCTTAACAATTGCTGTTTATCTGGTGTGTTCTCATTTATGCATCATACGTATTGCTTCTGGAACACTAATAAGCATGACATTTTTATTTGAAGCATAAGGATTTATATAAATTGCGTAATACATATACAATTTATGACTGTTCTATAGTTGTGAGCCATTAAATAATAAAATCTCTTAGATGCACTTCCCTTTTCCTCCATTTTGTTTCCTTAGTATATAGGTGGACTGCCATTATATGTTGAGGCACAAAGCCTTCTATCTTTTGTCTTTTTTTTTTTTTTTTTTTTGGTATTTATTTGACTCAAGGTCTTTTGTTTTGCAGGCAGAGTAAATATGCCTACAAGTCTGAATTCTGGAAAAGTATGACTTGTTTGATATACAGTTGCATTCATCTAAAGGCTGCAGCTATGATTTTATTTTACTCATATATATATATATATAAATACATGTTCGTTGTAACTATAAATAACAATAATAATATATAGCAGCCTTTTGTACATAGTACTTTGATCGAATGTCAGGAAAGAACTCAAAGTGGAAAGGGTTTTATTTCAGGAGGTCCTAATGTTCAGACTGAGCAGTTTGAGGATCTCGATGTTGACACGCATATGCAGCCAGTGAACACTGATCCACCAAAGCTGGAGTCAGTACCTGAGGTCAGTCGAGCTGCTAGAAAACGAGTTGTCTGCTCAACCTCAGTTTTTAGGAATACCTAAATCCTGCTGTTCTATTTTTTTAAAAAAATTTCTTCTGTCATTGCATTTTACTACTTTTCAAAGAATGAGTTCTAAATTTTTTAGGGTGTTTTGCAATTAAAATAAATCTTTATTATTTCCTTTTCACTTCTGGGTAAGACAAACATAAGTTTCCCAACGGGAATTGCAACCTCACCTTCCCAACTGTAAAGAACTCATAATGTAGTGCTTTAAGTATAAAAAGCGCTTTATACATGCATCACCAAACACATAACATACTTTTTACTAATAGTTTTGTGACAGCTTTACTGCTAAAAGCGCTTTCATTATTCTAAAAGTAATCCCAAACGGGCTCTAAATACATTAATGCGGTGTTTTTTCATACTTACATGTGATACATGTTTGGTGCAGGCTGAATTAGTGGATTGTTTCCTGCAGTCGCTGGGTCTTGAAAAATATTCAAAGTTATTCAAAGATAAGAAAGTATGTGAATTTTATAGTTTTTCTTTGTTTAGTGCATTTTTATGTGCTGGCTTTGGTTTTAACCATTATCTTAAGAAATTCTATCACTATTTTGAGGCCTCGTGTTTTTTCTGCAGATTGATAAAGCCACTCTAAAACTCATGACTGATGACAATCTTGAGGCTTTAGGATTACGAATGGTAAATTCAACTAGACCCGGCCTACTAATATGTAGTGTATCCCTATTTACCATTTCACCTTTAGAAACTTTATTGCTTGGTTGATTGGTACTTGCAAATATAGAATTTAAAGTACCACCCCTGAGGTTTTTTAAAATTACCTTCAATTGAAACTAGTAGAAAAATTGTTGTCAACATTCATTGAAAATTCGCCCTAACCACCTCTGCCATCAATCAACTGTTAGGTCAGTCAAAGGTGTAAATTTATATTCCAAAAGTACCCTATATGAAGCAAAATGATGCAAATGATCCTATTAAGTTTATGAATTGACCATTTTAACCAAATCACACACACACAGATACATACATTCATATATATATATATATATATATAATATACATTTCTCTCCACTGCTACCACCATTGCTCCCCCTACCACTGCCCCCATCTCCACATTCCAGTTTATCCGTTAGGTGGGAATGAGACGAGAACGTTGAAAGCAGGGGATGGTGGCTACCGGGACTACCACCAGCGCCACGATCTGATAGTAGAAAGGAAGAGACTGCTGCCACCTTTCAGAATGTTAGGTGATACCAACATTGAAGATAACTCACTAAACCCTCCAATTTAACCCTTTTCCTGTAGCAAGAGTGCCAAGATGACGATTCCTCTAACAGTGATTGGATTGTGGAAATTGGAAAGCTGAGTATTTTTCCATGTCAATATTGTCTCTCAATTTTGCATTTGTTTTTAAAGTAAATATCTTCTTAAAAATTGATTAGGGATTATTTTAGGAAGTTACAATGATTCATAACGAGTTTTTGTTATTACAATAATTCACCAGTAGCGATGGCTGGTAGTAGAGAGAGAAAAGGAGAGACTAAGGTGAAAAGAAAGAAGAGATTATAGTGGTGGTAGTGGTGGCGGTTAGTTGTCTGTTCCGATGGTCGTGTTTCATTCAAAATCCTAGCTCTTTGAATTTGGAGTGATTAAACAAAATCACTAAAAATGGTTTAGGGTTTTCAAAGTGAACTCTTGAAAGAAGAGAGGATGTGTATAGTGGAGGGAACGCTAATAGATTAGATTGGGGAGAGAGAGATGTAGTGGGTAGTAGTGGTGGTGGGAAGTAGAAAGGCAGGGCTGGTAGTGGGAGGCGGTGGTTGTGGGCCTGTGGCAGCCGACACTGGTATATATACATTCATGTCCTTATACATTTGTATATAAATATATAGTAAAATATGTAGTATAAGTATATTAAATTTATATTTTGTTTTTAATAATTTTCTTTTCTTACATCAGCATTTAGGTAAGCAGATATAATTATTAAAAGTGAGGGCAAGGGTAATTTTAATAAATCTCACGGAGTTTGGGGTAAATTCCCCTAGTTATTACTAATTTTGATTGTGTGATTCTGTGGTTTAACTTGGTTTGATATTAACTGGGGAATCTTTAAACCTAACATATATTTGATTTGCTGGAACAGATGTCTGATAACGTAATCTGTTTGATACTGATTCGTGATTTTTTTCCTTGTTTTTTATTGTATACACCCGTTATCCAATTGAGTTGTTGTATGCCTAATTTATAGTCCTTTATTCTGTTAACTAGGAAACTTTTTTGTTGCTAGTAAAGTTCAATTGATTTGATTTACAATGAATTTTTATGATTTTGATCTAATGCGGGGAGTTTAATTTACTTAGTGAATTAAAGAACATTTGGGTTAATAAGTATACTGACCTCCCCTTAGGTTTGCCCTAATTACACACGGATGGATCTTTTCAAAAATCTTGCATTGAACTCCCCTCTAACAGTTTGGTACAGGCGTACATAAAAAAAATACGATGAGATTACTCTTTTACCCCATTTATTTCAATAATAAAAAAGATCAAAATCTAAACGCGTGATCGCATTAAAGGCCCCACCAACACACCACGGGAGGGCCCATAGCCCCCTCACAAAGATGAGCTCATGCCAAAGAATGTGTCTCTCCCCATCATCCACTGGACCATACATATCGGAGAAAACCCACCTAAAACAATCCTCCTCCATAACAAAAGCACAAGAGATGGAGAACCTCCCCCTCCAAACGTCTACCTTTGACACTCATCCCCTATCCCACATGACAAGAATAGCCCCCCGAAGTGCCAATGGCGTCAAGCACTTCCCACTCAACAAATTGCCCACCCCAAAGACTCCTCACCACCCTATCCGAAATCGAGGCAAACTTTGTCTCCTGCAAATAAACCATGTTAAGGTCCTCTAGCTTTCCAGCTGGAATTTAAAACCTCATGGCTCCTCATTATTAGTTCAAACTTATATGATCATGTATGAAACCATCTGATCTTGGTCGAAAATGATAATCCACTGGTAGTATCTATAATCTATTACATATGCCATGCTTTACTATTTTTATCATTTCATCACAGCATTCTTTGTTGAGCCCTGGACCATTTTTTATTTATTTTTTGTTATGTCTCGACTCAAAATAGTAACAGCTTTTTCCTCCAACCTGGTCGATTGGGTTTGAAATTATACATGATTGCGTCTCCTGGTTGATGCAACATCATTTGTTGAATTGTTCTTTTTGATTCATGATATGTGTGCAATCGTTTACAATATTTCAAACCTAATTACTCTTCTAACCAGATCAAATTGGTGAAAATTTCACGTGATGAGACTTTTGAATATATGCCTCTTTGCTAATGCAAATCCAGTTATCATATATTAGGGCTTTTGGAGGCTGTCTGTGATAAGAATGAGATGTGATTCGAACGCATGAGCCGTACGTGATTGGCCTCTACTGTTGAAGGACCTAAAATAGATGAAATCAGAGATTTGATAAATTAGTTGTTTATCAATTATAACTGATTTGATAAATCAGTTATAAATCTTGATATAAGATTAGGGTGATTTTAGAGTTTTTCTAGTTTAGGGTTTTATTTGGTAGTCGTGTTTGATTAGGATTTTATTTCATTGCCTATATATATTTATATATTTGTAGGACTTGGTACTTTCATTTGGACACTTTCTGATGATTGTTTATTAATGAGTATGTTGATTTATTGATATTTTCTCTATATTCTCCCCTCTCCTATCTTTCTTCTCTTCTTGTTCTACATTAATTCAGTATGAGACCTTTCCGGTACAGCAAGTGGTGTCAACATTTTATAATGAAGTATGCTTTTAGATGAAGATTAATACTGGCTTTATTGGATACATCCTCTTAGTTGGCAATTTGTCTATATTTGTGGATAATTCGGTTCATGGGTTTTGCTTTAGGAAATGCTCTTCAATTTTCCTTTTCTAATTTTTTTTATTTCCTTTTAATTATTTATATTAAAAGATTTGACCCTCAGCCCTCCAAGATTTTAGGGTCTTGCCCATTTTATGTTCACTTTGACTTTTCCAGGGTCCAAGAAAGAAGATACTTTGGGCATTGGAGACTGAAGTTTGACTTTTGGGAGTTGATTAGGTCCATTTGCTTGTTTGTGTGGAGCTCAATGTTTTGGACTAACATCTGAAAATTCAGCTGGCCTGTATTTTAACCCCTGTGACTTTGTTATTTTAACCCGTGACTTTGCTTTAACTTATTGGGACTGAATTTTCTGTTATATTGCTGGATGTGATTCATCGAGCTTATCATTAGTGTGGAGTTTTTCTGAGTCATTCGAGGGCTGTGTTCACAACTTTGGATAGGTCTGCCCCTCCGTTTCCATTGTCTTTTCAAGTATTTTGGTGTTATCTTTCTTGATAAACGAATTTGTAGGGGGAAGGAATGAAATGTTCAAAGGTAATGGTTATTCAGTTCCTTTATTGCCAAGGAGATTCATTTGACATTTACATGAACATTTTTTATTGATATAATAATTACACATGACCTTCCCAGTGGTTATATTTTTACACCATACTACGTATTTTCCTATGTATTCATTTAGTATAATGCTTTCTAAAATTGCCCTAAAAAAATGCAAATCTCTCACTATTTAATCTAAATTTAGGGTAAAGTAAAATAAAAAAACAAATAGTTTGTTATATTCAAAATGTGCGAAACCCCCCTTGATTTCAAAGAAACCTTTAATGTTATAAGTTGGTCAAAGTTGATTTTGTGCTCATAATAAACAGGGGAGCGTCTTGTGCACAATTTCTACCCTTTCACCAAAGGACTCTTCGAAGTCATTCTGTTATGAATTTAAATAGAGTGTTGTAAATGCATACAACTCAAGTTCAGGTTGTTTTATTATCCCATCTTATATTCAATGATATTTTATTATCTAACAATGAAACTCATGTGACATATGATATTAAGATTTTTCTCACAACGGTGAAGCTATCTCAAAGTATCTAGTATCTAAAAAAGGGTTAAATGCAAGAAAAATAATAATAATACTAATAAAAAAAAATAAAAAATTCCTATGCAAAATGTGCAAGAAATATCCCCACTAAAAATTAATTGCATATAAATTCCTATATTGTTAACTATTGAACAAATTGCCTCTAACCCTCAAATTTCACTAATTTTTTTCTAAAAATTTCAAAATATCCTCAACACTATATATTACATATTATAATACTCTATACGTCACTTTACCCCCAGTCTTTCAACAGCATCTCTTTCTCTCTCTACATCTCTCTCCACACACACCTTGTCTTACAATCTCACTTTTTCTCTCTACAATATCTTTTTTTTCGAGCAATGATGCATAACCACATCATCCCCCACAAAATTCTTAAAAGCATTTTTCTTCCCTCTTTGATTTCTATGGATTCTCTCTCATTCCTCTATTTCACTTGATTAAAATCAAATCCAAATGACTAACAAGAATAATTAAAAAAAAAAGAACAAAAAAAAAAAAAAAACACAATGGTTTCGTTCAAGATTGTTCGGGTACCGTTTCAGTGTTACTGGATTTCCATTACCTGACCCACCAACAAGAACAGAGTATCCATGGAAAAAAAATAAAAATAAATAAATACACCCAAATTTATTTTTCAGGATCCACCACCTACTGTAATTTAGTATTGAATAGTAGGTTGAAGTGTTCAATGATGGATATTCATTTATGAATTTTAGGGTTAAGTGAAGAAAACCCTGATATATAGACTTTGTGCAGAACAAGTCCCTACTTTTTGAAAAAGTGCATGCAAGTCCTCAAAATTCAAAAAAGGTGCATAACAGGTCCATCTGACAACTTTTTACGAAAAGTAAAACTTAAAACCCCATTTTACCCTTTTCTTTCCCATTTTGCCCCTCACAATTTGTGCAGAAAAGCCCCTTAGCATTTGTGCATAAAAGGCCCCCAGCACCTTATACCAATTCGTCTCTCTCTCTATACATGATCACTGTTCTCTCTCCCTCTCTCTCTCTCTCTCTCCATGCATGTCTGCTTCAATTCTTGTTTCCTTTGTTTATTTTTTTAGTTCTCTATATCTTCATTTTTTTCTTTATCAATAACTACACACTATTTATGTTATTAATTATCTCAAAAAAAAAAAATTCATTTACTCCAAAACGTGCCATCATCTTCAAACTCAAGAAGCCATTGTTACCCATATAGGAGGTCAGTGAAAGAATATTATTGTAAATATGGAGTTAAAAGTCCTTTGAAGGTGTCATTTACCCAACGAAATCCTGGTAGAAGGTTTTACGGGTGCGCCAACTACAAGACTGGTTCATATGGTTTTTTGAGGTGGGAGGATGAAGAATTGCCTGATTATTACCGTAAATTGATTTGGGATCTTATGACAGAGATACGAGAGCTGCGGGACTTGCAAAGAACTGATTCTCTATTAATTGGTCAAGCTTGAACCATGAATGCGAATGATGACAAGCTTTTGGAGATGGAAAACATGATAGCAGAATTAAGAGAGATGAAGCACACAGGATATGCCCAACCTAAAAGAAAATGCTTACCTCAGTTTTCCATTCTCAATTTTCTTTTGGGGTTCTTTACTTGTGTTGTATTGTTCAAGTTACTAATGTGAAACATTGTAAACAAAAACATGTTTTGTGGTTCTTTACTTGTGTTACATGTTCGAATGCAAGTCTAACATGTTTGAATGCAAGTCTAACCTGTTTGAAAGCAACTACAACCTGTTTGATTTTTATTTTTTAAATACAACTACAACCTGCACCATATTGTACCCAACACTACTCACATACATAAACATTATACACAACAACACTCATATACACAGACCTACTGCACCACCCATTCAATGGTGACCAACCATTCAATAAATGACCAACTATAGCCTGCACCACCCATTCAATGACAACATTCAATAAGTTAAATAATCACAACCACCAACAACACAGACATAAATAATTTACGCATACATAATTTGCTCCATAATTCCCAAACAACATACATAGATATTGCTCCACGTTGAGACACATACATACATATATTAAAAACAAACATACATATTACAGCTCCATAGTTCCCCAACAACACAACACATACATACATACATATTGCAGCTCCATAGTTCCCCAACAACACAACATATACATACATACATATTGCAGCTCCATACATACATAAATATTGTAGCCAGTCAAACAGATGTTAAAAACAAAAACAATAGTTGTCCATTTGTTAATCCATGAATCAAATACACAAAAGATTACTTCAGATTTACCATACAAGTCGCAAATTGTCCACTAGCAAAAGGCAACACCTTGGATTGAAGTAAATTGAAACTTGGATGAAACAAAGGCAATAGTTTTAGACAGTGGAATCTGCAACAAATAAATGGTACAAGATAATTAAAAATGCCCTAAGCAAGTATGTGTTTTGAATGGAAAAGAACTAAAATTAAAAATTCATTTACCTAGAACCACCAATCTTAGCTTTCTTGGGTACCATTCCCTAGTATATGTAGCACGCCAACAATCTGAGACTGAGAAACATTAATAACCTATAAAGATGGTAAAGTTAAAGTAAAAGTTGAGTTGACAACACTTGTAAAATAAATAATAATAATAATAATAATATAAATCAATGCATATACCTCACTGTTAATCCCACTAACCATCACTGGGACATCAGTCAAGTTGCCAGCACCAATATCAACATTTACAGTCATATGACTGCCACCACCCCTGCCTCTCACAGTACCTCTACCACCCCTGCCTCTCACAACACCTCTACTTCCCATAGCATTGTTAGTAGCAACACCACCACTCAGTGAAGTACTTCCAACACATTGTTACTCCCAAGACTTCTACCAATTCCATTCCTACTCCCAACACCACTGCCTCTTACTCTCACTAAAGTACTGACTCTCACTGAAGTACTGCCCATAACATTGTTACTCCCAACACCACCACTGCCATTAAGAACAGTTTTAGTAGCCTTTTGAATATGCAATACTCCAAGTTGAGGGTTTTTGGGTCTACCTCCTTTGCTTTTAGGTGGTCCTCTCTGCACTTGTTCATTTTTGCAGGTCCTTGAGTTATGACCAGTTAATTGACATTTTCCACAAATAAGGTGATCCCTTTGTTTGTACACACGTTTTCCACTTGATGTACCTTTATCATAAGCTTTCTTCCTCAATTTCTTTGGTCTGCCTGGGGGTTTCCTAGCTATAGGAAGAATAATTGGAACCACCCCAGTTACTTCTCTCATATTTCTCAATGTCATTGGATATACCATCCCTGCATATGACTTCAAGAATGTTTCCTTATAACAGTATGGGTCAACAAAGTCTTCAAGAACTGCCCCTTTTCTCTTTTGTATAGCTGCACATGCATGCTTGCATGGGATACCTGTGACATCCCATGCCCTACAAGTACAACTTTTTTTATGTAAGTCAACAGTCTCATTCACTCCTCCATCTTCAACCTCATAAATGGCTTTTCCAGAGAGGTGAGCAGGACAACTCATTAAGTTCCTCTTGTTCAGTTTTAGCTGAGCTGCTGGAGCTGGACACAACAACCCCATTTTCCCCTCCATGTACTCTTTTTTCTCTTGACTCCTCTTCAACAAGGACTTTCTGATCATTTCAAGCATGGTGATGATGGGCTTATCTCTGGCCTTTAGTATGTGTGAATTCCATGATTCACACATATTATTGCTTTTAAGGTCACACTTTGACCATTCTGAGTACTTACACTTAGCTCACATGTGAGGGGGTATCTTGGCCAACCAATCATATGTATCTGTGTTAATTTTCCTGATTCTCTGTATGTGTCCCTAAAAGTCTACCATTGTGAAAGAATTTGCTGCATCCCATAACTCTTGCTTCAACTCCAAGCCTGGGAACTTCTTTTTGAAGTTGTCATACATGTGTGTTACACAGAATCTGTGATCTGCCCCAAGCTTCTCAAGTGTGTCAACCAAACCCTATAATAAAATCATAATATCAGTAAATGAAATTTTAAACAATCTGAAAATGTATTTTAAAGTATCAATAAATACATTTATACTATCAGTAAATGCAGTTTTAAACTGAAAGTCTGTAAAAGAATTTTCTAACATACCTTTTGTCTATCTGAAATGAATGTTATTTCTTTGTGGGGGCAAAGCAAATCCATGAGGTTATCCTGAAACCAATCCCAAGTCTCCTTTGTCTCTGCTTCCACAATACCAATTGCAACGGGATAGAAGCTATTGTCCCCATCTATACCAATAACACTTAGTAAATGTTGATTATAATGAGTTTTTAGAAAGCAGCCATCTAAGCCAATGAATGGCCTACAACCCTCTTTAAAGCCTCTCCATATTGCATTCAATGAGAAAAACAGTCTCTCAAACCTTGTAGACTTCCCATCTGGCTCTAAGAATGCATCAACCCTAGCAACACTTCCAGGATTTG